GGTCAGGGAGGGGGGGGTGAGTCTATGAGGAGCTACAACATCTGGTCGTTGTAAATTCACGGTCGACGAAGCTGGAAAATCATTTGCATAGACGCATACTGCCACCTAGTGGGATTCAGCGTGAACAACAAACAGACATGGGTTTAACGTTCATGACGTCACAGCAGTGGGCTACTAATAATATATGTATATATTTTAGGTTCTTTATCTCAGAGAAACGTCTACATTCACACACATACATATATAATAAATATATAAACAAATAATAAAATAATATAAACATATACATCTACTGTATATAACTCCATCAAACACTGAAAAGAACTTTGCTCCCCCTCTTCCTCCCCCTCTTCTTCCCCCTCTTCCTCCCCTCTTCTTCCTCCTCTTCTAACCCAGATCTTTGTTGTTATCTGATGAGACTGAACAACCAAGTGAACGATGCTCCTCTGAGGAAACAAATCCAGCGGCACCTCCTCACTCCCCCTGTCCCTCCCTCACCCCCGTAACTCCTCCTCCTCCTCCTCCTCACGGTCAGAACGAGAAGAATAATCTGAGCCTCTGAGATTGGCACTTCATTTCAGAAATCAATATTTACCATTTACTTCTTTCTAAGTTCATTCTTGGAGAGGACTTCCATATTACCCCTCCTCCTCCTCCCCCACGATCATATCTCCCCCTCGCCTGGAATGAGTTTCCTCCCCCAAAACGTGTGGTTTTCTTTCTTCTTTCCGTCTTTCTTCCCTCTTCTCTCCTCCTGCTCTCAGAAATCAATGTCTGCCTCTGTGCTCTTTAATCTGGAGTCTGATGACAGTAAATCTTTATCCGACACCGTTTCCCACCAGAACAAAGGGCCCGGCCCGTGTGGACCCTCAGATACAGCGCCCTCTAACGGGGCTGCGCGTGTTCCAGCAGAGGCCATTAATCAGAGGAGGAGGTGACAGACAGACAGACCTGGGCATGAGGAAGGAAGGAAGGAAGGAATCGGATCCACTTGAAAATAAAAATTTACAGTGACAAAATACAGACAGAAGGTGGCGCCAACTATAAAAATGACGCAAACTAACTATGAATTTTCAGCTGAAAGTTTTTAATCTTTACACTGGAGACAAATGTGTTTTTAAATCTATTTAAATCAAAATAAAACGGACACAGTTACAGCGACACGACTCCGACCCACCGACCCACCGCGTCGACCTCACAGCATTTTACTGGTCTGAGAGTCGGGACCTCTGTAGGCCACGCTGAGGGTGGTGGACGGCGCCGGCTCCGCCCGGCTGCGGGGGTCTCTGGTGTCGTTCAGAGGACAGTCGCCGGGCGGGCGGCAGTGGAACACCTGCCTGTAGGAGTTCCTGAAGTTCTCCGAGAGGAAGGCGTAGATGACGGGGTTGACGGAGGAGTTGCTGTAGGCCAGGCAGTGGGCAACCATCCTGAAGAGGAAGGAGGCCTGGTTCAGGGGGAAGGAGCCGAACTCCACCCACAGGTGGACGACGTGGTGGGGCAGCCAGGACAGGCAGAAGACCACAACCACCGCCAGCACCGTCTGAGCCGTCTGTGGACCACAGCAGGTAATGATGGGTAATAACACGGTCACATGGTCCGGTTTAACTGTAGCCGGGCAGATAATGAGGGGTAATATAACCCCATCAAATGGAATAAAAACACATTTGTTTTATGGCCGTTCCTGTAACAGCACTTAGTGGTTCCACCGACTCGGGTCCAGAACTGTTTATTTAAAACTATTTTAAAACCAAATAAATGTCGTTGCTGTAGCCACCACCGGGCGGCGGCTACTTTTTATATTTCTTCACAATACATGAATATATTAAAGACGAAGGAACCGTGTTGACGGACGACTGGACACCAGATGTGGGCCACGAACCTGCCGTGGGTCGGTCGAGTGACACCTACTGATCTGAGTCAAGAATTACGGCGTCAACACAGAGAGGAGACGCCCAGACCCACCTTCTTTTTGGAAACCTCTGACTTTTTAGAGACGTTCCTCAGTTTTTTGTGCAGATGTTTTAAAACCTGAAAAAAACAAAAAAACAAAAAGAAAATCATTCATTTAAGAAAAAAAAAACATTTAAGTGAAACCTGAACCTAATCCTGGAGCTGAAGCTGAAGAAAATCCACGTAGAGACGTCACCAGGGATCAGGAAAAAAAAAATTTAAGTGAAACCTGAACCTAAACCTGGATCTGAAGAAAATCCACGTAGAGACTTCACCAGGGATCAAACCCATGACCTTTATGCTGTAAGGCAAAAGCATGAACCACTGCTCCACCTACTGACTGTCAGAACTAAATAACAGAAAATGAATGAACTTTTGCAGTTCTTCTGGCCTTTAGGGGTCGCTATTCATTTGCATCTATCTCACCCCCCCTTTACTGTCACCCCCCCCCCACGGTCTCCAAACCAAACGTCATAGCAGGTCTCACTGCTGTCTTGTCAACTTTTCCTCACCATTTCTCATCATCATTTACACACGAACCGATTAATTGAACAAACATGCGGATCGCGGCCCCCTCTCAGAGCATAAACTGTAAAAATGTTTGAACCCCAGGGGGCGCACTCACCTTGGCGTAGCAGACCGAGATGAGGGTGAGGGGCAGCAGGTATCCGAAGACGAAGGAACACGTCACGTACACCTTCCTCTGGTGGTCGGGCCAGACCTCCCAGCAGAAGGTGGCGTTGTCCTCCCTCTCCACGATGCTCTGGTAATGCGCCACCGGAGCCGCCATGACCAGGGACGAGGTCCAGATGAGCAGCACGGCCAGCAGGGCGTGTCTGCCCACGCGGATGGACGAGGACCTCCTGGCGTGGACGATGGCCACGTAGCGGTCCACGGACATGGCGGAGAGCGTGAAGATGCTGACCAGCATGGAGACGGTGAAGAAGTAGTGCGTGAACTTGCAGATGAAGGCTCCCAGCACCCACGTGGGCAGCATGTATATGGTGGACTGGAACGGGACGCAGAAGAGCAGGTAGGACAGGTCGGCCACGCTCAGGTTCAGGATGAAGATGTTGGTCGTGCTGCGGGGTTTGCCCGCGGTGCTGCGCGACAGCACCGCGATCACCGTGGTGTTCCCCAGGACGCCCAGGATAAAAATGAGGGCGAAAATCAGGAGCGAGACCAGGTTGTCGACACCGACTCCCAGGATGAGTTCAGAGGGAAGTCTGACGGTGTTGGCGCCGACGGGATCGGACTGGTTCTCCATCCGCGGCTCCATCCGTAACGCAGAGCAGTTACATGTTGACAGACGCGTGTATGTGGGTGTGTGTGTGTGGGTGTGTGTGTGTGTGTGTCCTCCACCTGGAGCTCGTGCTGTTCCTTGTGGACAGAGGTTGGGCTGTCAGTCCACACCGGAGACGTCACCAAATTGGGTGTGTGAACTTGACCAAAGTTTTTTTTTTTGTTGTTGTTGTTAATCCACACTTTTCATTTTTGTTAAAACAACTTGGATCCAAATGAAGTGAACTGTGAACGGGACCTCGGACCGTGGACAGCTGTGGGTGATCATTAATGCAGCCCACGGTCCGTGTAACCAGAGATCAGAGCCTGATGTTATCTGCTGCTCCTGGTGTCCTCAGGTGAAGGTGCCACCGCTGCTGCTGCTGCTGTAAACACCCGAGCTTCAACGGTTTGGACTTGAACGGCTTAGAGGAAAAAAAAGACTTCACTAAGTCTCCACCAGGTGGTGTTTGAACACGGCCTCATGGACTGTGTGTTCTTTTTTCACAGAGAAAACTCTGCGGGTTTTTATGTACATATTGTTTTTGTACCTGGTTAAAAAAAAACAGCCTGACGTTTCCATGGCGACTCTTCACATCACATGGACCACAGTGTGGTTCCTGCTTCTGCTGAGGAAGATGAGAGAACATTGACATCTACACACACGCTGTTCAATTTTGATATGTTTGGAAGAAGAGGAGGAAGAGGAAGAGGAGGAGGAGGAGACGTGGTGCTGTTTGCTGTTGCTGCCTCTGAATGAGACAGTGACTTGTTTCAGCACCTTGGACAGCTCAGCTCTCAGCCAGAGCTGTTGTTCAGGCCTTGAACTGGAACTTGAAGTGAACCGTGTGAGACTTCACATATGACAGAGTGAAGCCAGCGATGCCTTCACTGTCTACGGTCAAAAGAAGATACAGGACAAACAACAGGAAGTGGACGCACAGATAGATCTTTACCTCTGTGGTGTTTCTCCGTCTCCACGGGGCCGTCCTCAGATGACTCCATTGATCGAACGACGACGCACGCCGCACCTCGACCCCAGCGGCTCCGACCGAGTCAGACCTGTTGTTACCATGACACCAAGCCCCGGAGGACAGAGCAGGAACAGCACACCCATTAAGTTCCAATTATTTTGAAAAAAAGAGAGTTGTGAAGAAAACACACAGAGTTCTGTTTTCTGTCTTTCATAATCTGTTTCTTCAGAAACAGTGAATGAGAAAAACAGCTCATGTCATCAACTACCACAGTTTACTACCTGAGAATTTGTTTGGTAAAAAAAAACTTTAAAAATATATGTAATAAAAATAATTTAAAATAATTCTAATCATAAAGACTTAAAATAAAATAAAGTTTCTAATTTTAACAAACTTACATGTGGCTCGAGGTCATCTCTGGTCAGTGCTGGGATTAATTAGAGAAGATGACTCAGTTACATAGGAACAGCCCGAGTGGGCCGAAATGACGTTGTAGCACTTCCTAAAATTACCAGAAGAGGGCGCCAGAATCCATACACTCGCAGGTAAGCGTCTTTAACGAGCTTAAAAAAAACCCACAATGACAACCGCAGAATAGAATAGAACAGAAGAGAATAGAAAGTGTATGACGTCACATACACAGATTAACTGTATTCTCATTTACAACCGCAGAATTCAACTTTTAAAAAGCAGCAAAAAAAAAAGAGTTCTCAATCTGTCTCCAACTGTTTCCCATGGTTCTCTACACCGTGTTCACACTCAGTCGATCCTCTGAAGGTATGACGGAGGGTGACACCCTGAGGACTGTTGATTTTCAGTATAAATCAAGTTATTTTTGTGAGACAGTCGACCTCCTGAAGTTGCAGGTTCCTTCTCCAAACAGTGAAAAAGTTCACAAAAAGGCACAAACAAGGAGTTCTCTTAGGCTGCCCCCTGTGGCCGTGTGCCGTAGATGACACCGAACAGAGAGACGCTTTTATTCTCCCTCCATTGACCGACTGATATTCAGCTGCCTCTGAGAGTAGGAGTCTTGGTCTCCATCGACATTCCTGTCCAGGCTTCCAGGATATCTGCCATGTTTGTGTCCCACAGCTCTTGTCCATGGCTGCCATTGTTTTCTCTGCGTCCCGGCCGCGTCAGGAACAAATCCAAGACTCTTCTGGGC